CTACTTACGCGCTAAATTCAAAATCATCAAGGATACTTTCCTTACATCTCCCCCCCTTAAGAAAAACTTTGGTACAAATCTTTGGTACAATTCACAGAAAGTTGTAGTTAGGTGCCCGCAGAACCTATTACAATCTAATCGTTAGGAGTTGGAATGAGTTTAGAGATATGAAACAAATTCGACGCCGGTTTTTTGTGTCCTGTGTCGACTTCGTATATTGATTTTGATATTTTGTTTAAGATTTTGTAAGGACCAATTCTTAACTCATCTAATTTTTTTCGATTCAGTCGATTTCCATTTTCAATATACACTAAGTCCCCGATATCAAAATCGTAGTCCCTTCTGTTCTTATCATATAATTTTTTATTGTATTCATGATATTTGGTGCTGTTCTTAAAGGCAATTGTTCTATCATTGTCTAAAATATTATTATCCTTCTTTTTCCGCAACTCGTTTGGTAATGTTGAGGTGTCTTCACCTCGTAATAAATATTTTGGACTGAACTTAGTGACTGTGTGTTCGGTTTCATTATATTTTTCTACGCAGTTGTGTGCTATAGTTGTCCATGCACTTCTTCTACCTTCTTCATTTATTGTACATCTAATTTTATTCACTAAGGTTTGGTTAAGTCTTTCATTTAGACCATTGGAGAATGGTGCATTAACTGCTGTAAAGATCAACATGATTTTCTCCTTTTTCAAGTAATCTTTGAATTCTTTTGAGTTTATGCCCGGATATTGGTCCGTTAAAATTATCTTTATTTCGTTTTCTTTCAGCACGTTTCCCGTCAACTTAATAAAATCATGCGCGCTTTGTGTTTTCGATGTTAATATATAAGCGAATCTTGTAAAATGGTCTACTAGCAGGTGTAAATATTTCTTTGTGGATCGTGAACCACCGAATCCACCTATTGTGTCTATGGAGACTATTTCAAATGGTTTTTTTGCGGGACCAAGATTAGACATCAGGCCAATCTTCTCTTGTCCCCTTGACTTGTTTTTTATACAGATTTCGCAGTTTTTGCATATTCGCTCTATATTTTCTGAAATATTTTTTGCTGTATAATATGGTAATATTTTGCTCTGCATTTGTTTTATGCCGATGTGGCAGAAATTTTTGTGGGTGTTTTTTATAAGTTTCTTGCAAAATTCTTCTGATAGTACGATTTTCTCGTTCTTTTTTACTCTTCTGTAGTATAAATTATCTTTGAAAAGTAATTTATATTTGTTAGTCTTTATATCTTCATTCTTCTTTTGATCTTCGTAAATATCTTCTATCTTTGTTAAATTTACAATTTTCAATTGATCGTTTTCGTCTTCTTGACATTCTAATACTGGGTTTCTACTTAAGCAATCTGCTTCTAAGTTATCTTTACCTGGACGGTATATTATTTCAAAATCATATTGTGATAGATAGTAGGTGAGATCGCCTAATTCTTCATCTGTTCTAGCTTTAATATTCATTTTTTCTAGTGGTTTATGATCTGAAAATACTTTGAAGTGTCTACCTATAAGCCAATGTTGCCAATATTTTATCGATTCTTTTATTGCTAGGCATTCTAAGTAAATAGCTTGTTTCCTTTTCTGTGCTTCATTCAGTTTTTTTGAAAAATATGCTACCGGTTTTTCAATTTTTTTATCATCATTTAGCTGTGGTTGTTTTAATACAGCTCCTATGCCTTGTAAACTTGCATCCGTGTATATATATATCGGTAGACTCGCATCAAAGATGGCCAATGTTGGTTGAGTGCAGAGGAAATTCTTCATATATTCAAAGGCTTCTTGGCATTCTTTAGACCAAATGAATTTTTGTCCTTTTCTCAGTAAGTTATGTAGGGGTTCTAAAATTAGTGAAATTTTCGGAACGTATTCGTTATAGAAATTAATTTTCCCTAAGAACTGTCTAATATTCTTCTGATTTTTCGGTACTGGGAAGTTTTTTATTGAAATTAGATTATCTTTTATTGGTGAAATTGAGTTGTGTTTTATAATGTGACCTAGATATTGCACAGAATCTAATGCAAATGTGCATTTAGAGAGTTTTAATCTGAACCCTTCTTCCATTATTGCTTCTAGTAATTGTGATAGATGCTCTACATGTTCTTTAAAAGATTTTGAAAAAATTAATATATCATCGATGTAGTTTACTGTGAAATCTGACAGTTTATGTTTTCTTATTATGTTGCTCAATATTCTTTGAAAGATGGCCGGCGATGTCTTCAATCCGAATGGAAGACACGTCCATTGAAATTGACCTTCTTGGGTCACGAATCCCGTTTTTCGTCTATCTTCGATTCGAAGAGGAATAGCCCAAAACGCTGAATTTATGTCCAATTTTGAGAAATATTTACAGTTCCTTGTTCTAACTACTAAATCTTCAATTAATGGAAATGGTTGTGATTGGGGAACTATTATTTTATTCAAGTCTCTAAAATCTATGCATAGTCTTGATTTCTTATTTTCATCTCTTTTGTATGCTAATGTAACTGGAGCAGCAAAAGGACTGTATGATTCTTCTATTAGCTTTCTTTTGAGTAATTCCGAGATTTGTTTCTCTATTTCTTTTTTGTCTTCAATTGTGCATCGATAGGGTCTCTTGCTACAGTATTTATCTACTATGAGATCTATTCTGGCTTCGTAATCTTTTACTACGCCTATGTCATATTTATCTTTGGCAAATATATTTTTATATTTATCTATGAGATTCTTTATTATGTTTTCTTCATAATGACTTAAGTGATTCGTTAAGACTTTGAAACTGTCTGAATCTACATGTTCATTGAAATTAATCCGATATTGTTGTTTCTCCATTAAATTGGAATTTTTCTGTTCTATTTCTAATTTTTCATTTTGTATTAGTTTAAATTTTTGTATGCAATCTAATCCTATTAGAAAGTCATATTTGAAATTTTCATTATTAATTATGAATACGTCCATATATTCCTCTATATTCAATATTTTTGCCTTAATTTTTATCAATTCTTCTGATTTATACACACCATTAATCGTTCTTAAATTAACTTTTTCTCTCAAATTGATTCTTTTTTGTTTTAAATGTACTAATTTTGAATTTATTAGTGAGACATTTGAACCTGAATCATAAATAGCGGATACTTCTAAAGTATTGTTCAATGTTATTTTAAGTTTGATTAATGGTGGAATTATTAGTTTTTTGGATCTTCATCACTTACTTCTACTTCTAATACTGAACTATTTATATGTTTCGTCTCGTGTTCTTTATCCTTAAACCAGCACTCAGCTACAGGGTGGAAGCGTATACCTTTACCTTTATTTTTACAGGTCTCGCATGGTGTTCTTTCTGTCTTCTCCTTATTAATATAATTCTTATTCTTTCTTATTTCAAAGTTTCTCTTGTGAACTAAATGTTCCAATTTACCTATTTCGTTATATAAGTCTTCTGTCTTTCTTAGTTTTTCTCTATCAATCCTGTCAGCTACAAAATTTGGCAGGCCAGTTGCAATTAGATCAATTAGTGTTCCATCATCAATTGAATTTCTTACTTCTAATAAAAGTTTCTCTTTTTTTATCGCATAATCTAGTAAAAGACCTGTTTGATATTTAAACGACAGTGCATATCTTATTCTAGACCAACCTTTACTAACAAATGTTTCGCAAAAGACTCTTTTCCACTCTCCCCAGTCTGCTTCAATAGTAAGTTTTAATAGTGTACAACTATACCAATCTGCGGCGCCTTTATCCATGAATGATTTCAAGATTTCAATTTTCTTACCGTCGTCAGAGATGTCAAATCGTCCACACTCTTTTTCGAAACTCGCGATCCACTGATCCGCGTTTGAATTTCTTCCATCAAATCTCTCAATCATGAATCGCTCTGCTATTTTACCTATACTTCTACTTTCTGACTGTATTTGGCTCTTTTCCAGCAACTTTTCTAATATCTTCATAAGTGGTTGTTCTGAAGCTTGTGATCCGTCTTCTGGTTTTTCCAATATCTCCTCTAGATAAAACTCTCCTATTTGTAGATTTCCTCCTTCGTCTAAATAAGTGTTGGCTAATGCTTTAGTTAAATTGATCCATATCTTTCTAGTTTGGTGCCTTTTCGTTAATGAATTTTTCACTTTATTAAATGCAGGTAGTTTCACGATTTCTGTGTGTAGTGTTGCTGGTTGATACTCCTCCGGAACTGCATACACGTGGCCATCCGGTGTGCCGATTGAGGTTATGCACAACACGTTCGTCTTCATATCTGCTGCACCGCGAACTGTGAAGATAAATTGCAACCTGTCCATCTTATTTGTTGTGAATTCCAACGAGAATGTTGTTGAAATAATTTGATGGATTATTGAATCTATCATGACCCTAGAATAAAAAGAGGAATATTTTCAAAAATTTTAAAATTACTTTATTTAAAAGCAGATATATAAAAACAGATTAACAATTTTCCATATTGATGTATATACCTTTGCATTGAAATTACCAAAAAAAATTAGGAATTTTGTAAAATTACTTCTTACGGTAAGTCACATAAAACAGATTTGTGTTACTACTATATTAAAAATATGAAACAGCCATACATAATACTGTTTAATATTTGTATTAAGAATAGAGAAACCAATTTACTTTTGAAAATAAATTTTTCAAAAGTTCTGTTTACAAAAATTGATGCGCTTATATTAATATTAATGTGAATCATTATAACTACAGTAACAAGATACTTCGTCGTCCAGTTTTTAAGCATTACACGTTCAATACGTATTGTATATCTTGTTTGATTTGGTGAACCCTCAATTATTTCAAGTAGACCATTACAGCACTGAGTTAAATTCCTGTTATTAAATTCAGCAGGTGGTAATTGTGGGCAGTTAAAAATACATGTTTATTGACGCTAGCGTACACTCTTGTCTAATTATGGCCTAGTGACTATATTTTCATTATTACAAAAAATATTATGCGATTTAAATTATCGTTTTTACAATTACGCTTCATTCATAGCTACAACATGAATATCAGATTTCAAAAATTAAAAATAGACTAATTTAATCCTAATGCCAATATTCAGAAAACAGTATGAAAAACTCTGTTATTTCTATCCCGCAGTTGATTCCTTAATATATTTTTTCCAAAGTGATAAATCTGTGGCGTCGATTTAGCGGCCGCCACGTCCCTGTCTAAATTATTGTATTTAGTCTAGGTTTAAGATTTTAGGTGTGAATGAGATGCGTAACGAATTGTTTGCCTGAATCCGAGTGGATGCTGCGTAGCGTTTGCGAGAGGATGTTTGGATCATTGGTTCGAGTGCCGCGTGGGGTGTCCGAGTTCGAGGAATGCCTGAGAAATACGCGTGTATCGTTGAATGATTGGTTTAGAGTGAGAGCGATTCGGTTTGGACGAGGAAAGAATGATTCCGAGTGAGAATGAATCAGGGTGTGTGGGGGTGAATGTCGTAGGAAAAAGTTAGTTCATCGCTGCTTGTCAAAGAGTAAGGTCATGGACCTGCTTACGGAATAAACGGAAGTCAAAGGTGGAAAAATAGTTATTATTTTTCCCTGCGAGTCCTCATCCCATACATCCATGCCGATCATACAATTACATAGTATATACACACACACATACCACATATATGAAACTAAAATTTGGTTATGCCATATACTTATAAATTATAAAGTGAAATTAATAAAATTATTATTATTAAACAAGTGAAATTATTATTAATCAAGATTTTGATTCAATCGTCATTAGACTTTTAAAACTATACTTATACTTCTTAAACAGGAGTTTGTATTTATAGGAATATTCATTTATTCTTATAATGATTTTTATATATCGGTTATTGGTGAATAATGAGCCGAATTATTTCTCTGTAATAACAAAGATTTTTTATTATTTTAAACAAGATAATATAATAACTTAGACTAATTCTTAATCCTACCTGTAATAGTAAAGAAACAACATTCAATGCTATTACTCACAGCGTTGTTTCTTGATTTATTTCTTTACGTATAATTTTATAATCCCTGTTTTAGTTCTTATCATTGCGCTTTGTGGCTTACCTTGTCGTTCTGACGCCACCTATCGATTCAGAGGTCCGACTTATCGATCTACTTACGCGCTAAATTCAAAATCATCAAGGATACTTTCCTTACATATTTATTTCATTAATTATTAATATAAAATGTTTTATTTTTGGTAATCTTTTACAGTGTAATACATTTTAAAACAATTTCCAACATGCAGAAAAGGATGTCTTTCGCATGTTTCGCAGAAATAAACAGTTGTCTATTAGAATAGACCATACAATTGTTATGTTTTTTTTCCGGATGAGGTACTAAAATGTGGAGTTTTCCATCAAGTCGATTCTCTACATCTGATGATCTACTTACGCGCTAAATTCAAAATCATCAAGGATACTTTCCTTACAAATATATTCTGGACGAGATACCAGCGGAAAAAGAAAAGTTGGCATAGCAGAGAGTGTCTGCACTGAAATTGCAGACAAATTATTGAACGAAGGACGTTGATACGATGGCAACTCGACGACCGCGTTTTTTAGCTCTTTGTCTGAAATCTCCCACCAAGGAAAGAACTAACTTACGTATGAAACGTAAATGAGTTATTGGCTTCACCCCATTCATATTACATGAAACTTTATACAAAATGTATGAATTAATGGCACTTGTCTCTAAACCCCAGAAAGAAAGTTAGTATGGTTGTCAAAATTTCAAGTGGCAACACCTTTTTTCGACGTGGGTCTCCGCACGATTGAGACCCAAGAAATTCGATGATACGGATTCGAGATATGTAAGTTAAGTAACGAAAATTAGTATTGTCACCTCCAGTGTGACATACGAGTGCAAAGGGTTAAATACGATGCCGCTAATAGAGAGCATCAAGACAATATGAATGTTGAGATTCTTATGGACGAAGAGAGAGAACTATAAAAGCGGCCCTTTTCAGGGTCACATGGTGTGCAAAATCTGATCGAGCAACATCCTCGTGGTACACACTGGGTAACGCTAATGCCAATGGTGCTTCATGTTCGTACGATGAAAGAAAAAGAGAACCATTTTTTACCTTTTGGACGATTTTTTATTTTTACTCCTGAAAGGGAGTCAAAAAGTCAGGGGATCTCCGGAAAGCCACGCTGATTGGTTTTCCGAAATTTGTTAATTTCCCAATCAGCGTGGTTGTTAGATTCTAAGTCCCACCCTCTATTTCGGTCTTAGCCAGGTCGCTAAGAGAGGATGGGGTGCAAGCGCGCGTGTGTGTGAGAAGACCCAAAGTCCTGCGACACCGGGGTTTTTCCCTCCAGGTAGGCCCTCGAAGGCCAGGAAAACCGTTACATCGTTTGCTCGCGAAATTACCCTTCGGGAAGGACCGAGTTTATGACATGAGCTGAGCTGTCGAGAACAAAACGAAACTAAAAATTTGGAATCTATTATTTAAAAAAACAGGTAAACGACTATTGCTAGTAATCTAAAATATTCAAACTCAAAAACAGCTGTTCGTAGAGGCCCTATCATAAACTCCCTTTGGAAATCCTCACCTCATGTTCCGTTAGCAACGGAACAGACGTACTTTATTTGTTGATAATTTTTACACTAGTTATGAATTAGCACTTAAATTTTTAAATTCTAAGACGCATGTGGTTGGAACCGTACGGCGCAATAAAAGAAATATGCCAAGTTGTGTAATGTCGTATCCGTTGAAAAGAGGTGAAATGGTGGCACGAGAAGATCCAAATGGTATTGTAGTACTAAAATGGAGAGATGTTCGCGATGTCACAATCTTATCCACAAAACATCCTCCCATCATGACTCCAAGCTCGAATTCTACACATCGCGATCGTCCTACGAAAATGAAACCTTTGGCGATAAGAGAGTACAATATTGGTAAAAGTGGCATCGATAGAAGCGACCAGATGGTGTCATATGCAACAAACATACGAAAAACCATCAAGTGGTATCGCAAATTAGCAATATATTTACTTTTAGGTACAACGATAGTAAATGCACATATAGTGTATCAGAGAGCTACACAAAAAAAAATACATATAAGAAAATTCCGTGAACTTTTAGTCACAGAATGGTTGTCCTCAAAAGATACTGTGCCCAACCCTAATAGACCCAAAAGAAGGAATCTGTCCCACCACTTGGAGATCCGCAAAAATCAGCAGGGGAAGCCTGTAAGAAAGATGTGCGTACTTTGTTACAAAAAGAAGAGGAAAATGGTCGAACGCCAACAAGCAAGAAAAAACCTTAAAAAAACAACAACGTATTGTTTGAATTGCCCAAAATCGCCACAGATGTGCTTGGACTGTTTCAACGAATTTCATGCATAGTATAATTTCATGACATAGTGTAATATAATATGTTATCCTATATAAATTAATAAAAAATAGAGTGTTATTTGTGTATTTTTTATATTTTTACGCTGTATATTCTATATTTATACTTCAGAACTTGTTCCATTAAATTTGTTTTCAAAATGCAACTGAAAATCTTATTTAACTTCAACAAGAAAAGCGTCACCCA